TGTAGTGACAAAAATCTCGATAATATACTACCTTCTATTATGACAATGCTTCCATCCATTGGAATAACAAAAATCTCGACAACAGACTACGTTCCATAATGACAAGGCTACCATCCCTTAGAGTAGCAGATTTCTCAACAATAGACCACCTTCCATAATGACAAGGCTACCATCCATTGGAGAAACAAAGATATCGACAACATACTACCTTCCATAATGACAAGGCTACCATCCCCTAGAGTAACAAAAATCACAACAACATAATACCTTTCATAATGACAAGGCTACCATCCATTGGAATAACAAAAATATCGTACACAAACTACCTTCCATAATGACTAGGCTACCATCCATTTGAGTAACAAAGATATCGACAACAGACTACCTTCCATAACGACAAGGATACAATCCATTGTAGTAACAAAAATCTCGACAATAGACTACCTTCTATAATGACAACGCTACCATCCATTGGAATAACAAAAATATCGTATACAAACTACCTTCAATAATGATTAGGCTACCATCCATTGGAGTAACAAAGATATCGACAACAGACTACCTTCCATAATGACAAGGCTACTAGTGACAAAAATCTCGACAACAGACTACCTTCCATAATGACAAGGCACCCATTCATTGTAGTGACAAAAATCTCAACAATATACTACCTTCTATAATGACAAGGCTACCATCCATTGGAGTAACAAAAATCTCGACAACAGACTACCTTCCATAATGACAAGGCTACCATTCAGTATAGTGACAAAAATCTCAACAATATACTACCTTCTATAATGACAAGGCTACGATTCATTGGAGTAACAAAAATCTCAACAACAGACTACCTTCCATAATGACAAGGCTACAATCTATTATAAGTACAAAAATCTCAACAGTAGACTAAATTTCATAATGACAAGGCTACCATCCATTGGAATAACAAAAATATCGTATACAAACTACCTTCAATAATGACCAGGCTACCATCCATTGGAGTAACAAAGATATCGACAACAGACTACCTTCCATAATGACAAGGCTACAATCCATTGTAGTAACAAAAATCTCGACAACAGACTACCGTCCATAATGACAAGGGTACCATTCATTGTAGTGACAAAAATCTCAACAATATACTACCTTCCATAATGACAAGGCTACAATCCATTGTAGTAACAAAAATCTCGACAACAGACTACCTTACATAATGACAAGGCTACCATCCATTGTAGTGACAAAAATATCAACAATATAATACCTTCTATAATGACAAGGCTACCATCAATTGGAGTAACAAAAATCTCGACAACAAACTACCTTCCATAATGACAAGGCTATAATCTATTATAGTAACAAAAATCTCGACAATAGACTACCTTTCATAATGAAAATGCTACCATCCATTGGAATAACAAAAATCTCGACAACAGACTACGTTCCATAATGACAAGGCTACCATCCCTTAGAGTAACAAAAATCTCGACAACAGACTACCTTCCATAAGGACATGGCTACAATCCATTGGAGTATCAAAAATATCGATAACAGACTACCTTCGATAATGACAAGGCTACCATCCATTGGAGTAACTAAAATCTCGTACAGAAACTACCTTCCATAATGACTAGGCTACCATCCATTGGAGTAACAAAGATATCGTTAACAGACTACCTTCCACAACGACAAGGCTACAATCCATTGTAGTAACAAAAATCTCGACAACAGACTACCTTCCATATTGACAAGGCTACCATCCCTTATAGTGACAAAAATCTCGACAATATATTACCTTCCATAATGACAAGGCTACCATCCATTGGAGTAACTAAAATCTCGACAACAGACTACCTTCCATAAGGACATGGCTACAATCCATTGGAGTATCAAAAATATCGATAACAGACTACCTTCGATAATGACAAGGCTACCATCCATTGGAGTAACTAAAATCTCGTACATAAACAACCTTCCATAATGACTAGGCTACCATCCATTGGTGTAACAAAGATATCGACAACAGACTATCGTCCATAACAAGAAGGCTACAATCCATTGTAGTAACAAAAATCTAGACAACAGACTACCTTCCCTAATGACAAGGGTACCATCCATTGTAGTGACAAAAATCTCGATAATATACTACCTTCTATTATGACAATGCTTCCATCCATTGGAATAATAAAAATCTCGACAACAGACTACCTTCCATAATGACAAGGCTACCATCCATTGGAGTAACAAAAGTC